AGAGGCACTCTCAGGCTGGGGCCAGTTATGCTCTGTATTCTTGGTACTTGGGGGGGGGGCAACAGTGGGAGGGCTTCTAGTGTCTTGGCTCCACTGCACTGCTGGACCTCCCGATGGCACCTGGTATTTCTGGCCACTGTATGATACAGAGTGTTGGACTGGATGGGCCATTGGCCTGATCCAACATTGGCTTCTCTTATGTTCTTATGTTGTTCTTATGTCCCCGGCAGCTCTCACCAGTGCTAGAGCTCGCCGGGTGCCAGCTGCCGTGGAGACTGAGACTCCCTTGGTTCAGGTGGTGGCCGTGACCAAAGGCAGCAGCACTTGCATTACCTCCCAGGGAGGGGAGTCAGTGTTGTTCTTATGTCCCCGGCAGCTCTCACCAGTGCTAGAGCTCGCCGGGTGCCAGCTGCCGTGGAGACTGAGACTCCCTTGGTTCAGGTGGTGGCCGTGACCAAAGGCAGCAGCACTTGCATTACCTCCCAGGGAGGGGAGTCAGGTGCCGTGGCTCAGAGGCCTGTGCAGCAACCCCACAGCCTGCTCCTCAATGGTGGCCCACCACCACTACCATCACCCCAGCTGCCCAGGCAGAGCCAGACTCAGCTGCAGCAGCCAACGAGGAGGAGGAGGAGGAGGAAGTGTCTGAGGTAGGCAAGTTGTGGTTGGCAGCAAAGAGAAGGGGAGGCACTGGGCGACTTTACCTCAGTGCCAAGAGGGGAAGAGAGCCACGGCGTCCACTCCTGCCGGCTTCCAAAGAGGAGAGGGAGCTCTTTCCAGAAAGCAGGAGAAGGTAGTGCAGGACTGGGTGTGGGGCGGCAAGGCTAAATCAATACTTTTTAAAAAGTCATATAACTTTTGAAAGAGAATTTTGTTGGCCGTGGCTGTTAATTTAAGGGGACGTGGCCCCGAGATGCCCCACTGTGGCTACAGGCCCAGTTATAAGGCCTTCCTTCCATTTCCTAAATGAGTCTTTAGGCTCCTCCCATTTCCCCTTCTCATAGGAATCATTTGTGATTGTGCCTTTAATATTTCTCTTTTAAGAAACTCCCACCCCTCTTGAACTCCCTTTTCCTGAAGTATTTCTGACCATGGGATTCTACCCAGCATAACTTTGAGTTTGTCAAAATTTGCTTTCCTGAAGTCCAACCTGTATGTCTTAGTACCGACTCAGGAGTACAGTTGAAATCACCTCTTACTAGTATATTACTAGTATATTTAATGATCCAAGTGTTATCATCTCACCATGCAGCTTTACTGTGATCAAAACATAACGTCCTTCAGTATCTCTTATTTTCTCATCTGTATTTTTAATATGTTCCCTGTAGAAATATAATATCATATCATCCTTGCTTTCATACATTTAAAATACATCACCTTTTGTTATGAAGATTAAGGCCCTTAACGTGATATTTAATTATTATTTTTAAGATTTACCATTTACATTAGCAATTAAGTTCAACTATTACAATTAACGAACCAGACAAGCTTACCAAATGTATTGAAAAGGACTGAACAGGCAATAAATCCATCCCCACCCAACCCCCAACATGAACTAAAAACACCCCAGGGTTCCCCTTTTCTACTACCAGAGAACCTGACCAAAAGGTCATGCTCTGGAAGTGGGGATAAAAGGAGAGATAAAGGAATTCCACATCTCATGTTTCCTCCAGTCCAGCATTCTTTCAAGTCTTTAAATTCGATGTTTACTATATGAATGTATGCCCTGTATATTATTCTTTGGTCCTTAACTAAGCGGTAACTGTAATACTATCATTCAGACATGCAGCTTCATTCGTTGTCATCCTCAGCTTCTTATTCCTGGAGAGTATTATTCTCTCTTCTGTTTATAGATCTTCTTTCATTTCCCCCCCATTTTCATTACACTCCAGGTACCGTCTTGTTCTTAATTTTCTTCTTCACTGCAGTCTGAGGGATCCATCCGATCTTTCTCCTGCTGCTGTTGTTTTAGAGAAATCCCTACTGTCTTAAGCAATGCCTTGGCGTCTTTAAGATTTCGTACAGATAGCAATTGATCCCTGAAAGAGACTAAGAATTTGAAGGGAAATCCCCCAGCGATATTTCAGTCCAGCATCTTTCAAAGCAGCAGTTACAGCGTTGCAAAGTTCCTGCAGAGAGATCTTGAAATACTACATTGCTTTGTGTCTCAAAGGTAATTGTAACTTAAGAATGACTTTTCTTTAATATAAGTTCCTTGTCTTTAAAATTCAGAAACTTTACTATGATATCTCTGGAAGTCCCAGTAGATACTTCCATGTGGGACTTAACCCTGTGTGCTCTCTCAATCCATATTGTTTCAGGCATTTTCAGTTTAAAAGTTTCCTTAAGCCATTCATGTATAAAAATCTCCAGAGCTGTACCTTTTTCTGCACCTTCTTTAAAGCCTCTAAACCATAAATTGTGAAATCTGGCACAGTTTCCCACATAATCCAGATTATTTTTCAAGCACTGGTTTGACTTTTCAAGTTTACTCATTTTATAAACTGTAGAAATCTTGAAGTCAATTGTTTGCTCTGCAGAGGCTTCTAAATGACTTACTGTCTCATTTAATTGTTCCGCTGCTATTTTAATAGAAGAAAGCAAAGCTATATCAAGCTTTCAATTCAATTCTAAGATCTTCAAGATGATTTACAAATAACTCTTCCAGCTCACTCGTTACAGAAATGGAGGCCTCCTTGCTTAATTGTGAAGGATTGGTAGCCATCTTGGTTTTCCTGTCTTTCTCCTTCGAGCTTAGATGAGTAACAGTTAGGGATGGGCAAAACCCAGAAAATTCCAGTTCGGTTTAGGGTTCGAGGTGTGCCCAAACCAAACCCTGAACCAAAATGAGCTAAAAATGCCTGAACCAAAACAGCTGGTTTGGGTCACCTTTCTTCTGGTCGCAGGAAGCCACAGCCAGGAGAAAGGGGGGGGAATCACCCAGGGGGGAGCAAAAGGGATCACTGAAATGGCTTGCATATATTTCAGCTGACAGGCGCACCAGCCCTGCTGTTATTCTGAAATAGATGCAAGCCATTTCAGTGGTCCCTCTCACCACCACCCACTTCCCATGACAAACTGCATGAACCACTGAAAAACCACATGGAGTGTCACGGGGGAGATCACACGAACCTCAGTTCACAAACCACAACCCAAGCAATGTTACCACTGTACTTGGTAATGGGCAAGTTTGTGACCATCCCTAGTCACAGTAGCTTCAACAGATTCAAAATAGCTCTTCAGGTTTTTTCATCTAGTTGCTGAAGCTTCAAATACCATTTCTGCCTATATTAAATCTCTGCCATACCAAACTTCTCGGCAGAAAGACTATTCCCTCACTCTGAATGATGCATTCTGGTCTGGGCTTTGGACCTCAACAACTAATTTCCCTCGATCAGTATCCATGGAACTACAAAACTTTAAACTTATGGTACGATGGTACCTCACACCACAAAAAATGTCACATATGAGTGCAACAAAGGCTCCTCTGTGCTGGAAAGCTGCCAACAAGTGGGCACATTTGCCCACTGCTGGTGGCAGTGTGAAATAATAAACACTTTTTGGAAGGAAATACAGAAGTATGTCAAAGTTATTACAGACATAGACATGCCAATCTTTCCTGAGAACCTCTTTCTGGGACATTGGCCGGTATATATAGAAAAAATATATAAAAGACAACTTTGGATATTATGATATTTGCTGCAAGAACATCCATTGCTACCTGCTGGAAGGATGTCAATCCACCCACTGTTCAGCTCTGGTTTCGAAAATTATGGGACCAGTTCTTAATGGATTGTGTCACTAACAAAATAAACGATGCCTCAATCACACCAATCAGATCATCATTTATGGAAAAATGGGAACCCATCTTGGATTTCCTAACTAAGGAAGAACACATACCCACTTCCTGGCTACAATTTCAAAAGTCGTTTTGAATTCTATTTTATTCTATCAAAGAAACATGGAAGGTTAAAATTGTTAGGATGCACTTCCCCTTATAAGGCTTTACTCAATGTTATCTGTTTTATTGTTCTACTGCAATAATTGATTAATATAACAGTGTAGATCTGACTTTCTATGTGTACAGGTATACTTTCAACTGCACTATGGTTGGCAAATTTTGAAAAATAACTTTTTCACTAAACTTATAAAGTTTGGTACATGACTAAAAGATATGACGTTATAGTAAGCACGCTATATATTGTATCTTCAAATCATTACAATGATTCCTAATTCAGGACTTCTTTGTACTTCTAATGTATTCATGTATTAGCTTTGTATCTTGATGTATTCTATTCCAATAAAATATAAATTAAAAAAAATTGCTACACATAATCTATTACATGTTTAGGAGGCAAAAATTGTTGGGCTGGAGCTGTGAATTCAGCTAGCCATCTTCCTTGATGTCCTCCCCCTTAGTGGGTTCTTTGATGAACCTGAAGATGGCCACTCCGCCTGAATTTCTTTCCACACACTGAGCATTCAAAAGGTTTCTCCCCTGTGTGGGTTCTTTGATGCACCTGAAGATCACCTCTGTGGCAGAATTTCTTTCCACACTCTGAGCATTCAAAAGGTTTCTCCCCCGTGTGGGTTCTTTGATGCAACTGAAGATTGCCACTCTGACTGAATCTCTTTCCACACTCTGAGCATTCAAAGGGTTTCTCCCCTGTGTGGATTCTTTGATGCACCTGAAGATCACTGCTGCGGCAGAATTTCTTTCCACACTCTGAGCATTCAAAAGGTTTCTCCCTTGTGTGGGTTCTTTGATGCACCTGAAGATCACCTCTGTGACAGAATTTCTTTCCACACTCTGAGCATTCAAAAGGTTTCTCCCCCGTGTGGGTTCTTTGATGCAACTGAAGATTGCCACTCTGACTGAATCTCTTTCCACACTCTGAGCATTCAAAGGGTTTCTCCCCTGTGTGGATTCTTTGATGCACCTGAAGATCACTGCTGCGGCAGAATTTCTTTCCACACTCTGAGCATTCAAAAGGTTTCTCCCCTGTGTGGGTTCTTTGATGCAACTGAAGATTGCCACTCTGACTGAATCTCTTTCCACACATTGAGCATTCAAAAGGTTTCTCCCCTGTGTGGGTTCTTTGATGCTTGTGAAGACTGATACTCTGCCTGAATCTCTTTCTGCACACTGAGCACTCGAGAGGTTTTTCCCCTGTGTGGATTCTTTGATGCCAACGAAGACTGAAACCCCGACTGAATTTCCTTCCACACACAGAACATTCAAAAGGTTTCTCCCCTGTATGGGTTCTTTGATGCCTGTGAAGATGGCCACTCCGACTGAATTTCTTCCCACATACTGGGCATTCAAAAGGTTTCTCCCCTGTGTGGGTTCCTTGATGCCGGTGAAGACTGCCACTTCTGTTGAAGCTCTTTCCACATTCTGAACATTCAAAAGGTTTCTCCCCTGTGTGGGTTCGTTGATGCACCTGTAGAAAACTGCGAGGGAATTTCTTTCTGCACACTGAGCATTCAAAATGCTTCTCCCCTGCATGATTTCTTTGATGCACCTGAAGTCGGCCATTTGACCTGAATTTCTTTCCACACTCTGAGCACTCGAAAGATTTCTCCCCTGTGTGGGTCCTTAGATGCCGGCGACGATCAGAAATGTGACTGAATTTCTTTCCACACTCTGAGCATTCAAAAGGTTTCTCCCCTGTGTGGGTTCTTTGATGCTGGTGAAGATTGCTACTCTGCCTGAATTTCTTTCCACACTCTGAGCATTCAAAAGGTTTTTCCCCTGTGTGGATACTTTGATGCCGCTGAAGATACGAAATGTAACTGAATTTCTTTCCACATTCTAAGCATTCAAAAGGTTTATCGCCTGTGTGGATTCTCTGATGCCGTCGAAGATACGAAATATGTCTGAATTTCTTTCCACACTCTGAGCATTCAAAAGGTTTTTCCCCTGTGTGGATACTTTGATGCCGCTGAAGATACGAAATGTAACTGAATTTCTTTCCACATTCTAAGCATTCAAAAGGTTTATCCCCTGTGTGGATCCTTTGATGCCGTCGAAGATCAGAAATACTACTGAATTTCTTTCCACACTCTGAGCATTCAAAAAGTTTCTTACTTCTTTGGGGGTTTTGTTGCTCCAATTGTAATTTGCATCTGAAGTACTTTCCAAATGGAAAAAATTTCTGTCCCTTCATTATACTGCACGTCGGAGAATGTACATTATCCATTGTTCCCTCAGAGAATATCATTCCACTCTCTGAGCAAATCAATGGCTTCTCTCCTGAATGAATCTTCTCTTGACCAAGGCCTGATTTCTGTGGGAGACTCTGCCCATAGTTTGAGGAGCTATCTGTTTTCTTTTCTGTGTAGAGTCTTTGATGTCTAAGGAGGTCTGCTTTGCATCTGAAGCTCTTTCCACACTCCAAACATTGATGGCTCTTCTTACCAGGATGCATTCTTAAATGCATATGATATTGGGATTGATCCAAGAAGCTCATTCCACACTCCAAGCACTTGTATATTTTGTCTGCCTCGTGAATCACTTCAAGTAAATCCCTCCCTTGGCAAGGAATGATTTCATTACTCTTCTTGACCATGTGTCTTCTTTTCTGCTTCTTAGGTCTACCTTGATTCCCAATGTTTCCTCTCAACTCTTCATTCTTGACATCACCTGGCGACAGATGATGCAGTTCCTCATTGTCCTCATTCCCCTGATGGTCCCCTGCTGGAAGAAAAACAGAGATCCCGTTATCCCCCACGCAAGGAGGTCTGATCTGCACTTGAATTTCCATTCACATTTCAGTGGCTTCTTTTTGTTGTACACTGAAGTGTACAATAATGGACGCTTGAAAATTACACTAAAGCCTGCTGCATCAGAGAGGTTTGGTTTGTACCCTGACCATTTATATAGCTCTCGAGGGAGTTATATGATGTGAACTAAGGGCCACTTTCCAACTGAAGATCTTTCCACACTTCAAGCAATTACATGGTTTTTCTCCTCAGGGAATTTGTTCCAGAAAAACTACATTTGTGCTCCAAATGGAAGCTCTTTCAAGAGGCCATGCTTTTATTTTCTTTTTCTCTGAAGTGAATTCTCTGAAACCCTTCGTTCCTCACCTTTTTTGGCTGGCCTTTCTTCTTGTACTGGGCATTCGTGGAAGCCACTTCCTTGTTGAGACATGAGTTTATCCTTCATATTCTCTCTGTGGATTGTCTCCTGCCTTTTTGGTTCTTTTCCATCCCCAAAGTTTCCTTTGGCCTCTTCATTCTTGGCTTTTTCTGATGAGAACCTCTGAAATTCCCCAGCTGTCTCCTCTGCCTCTCCTGATGAAATAGAGAGAGATCCAATCAGCATCCACATATCCACATAAAAAGGTAAAGGTAAAGGTTCCCTTGCTCGAAAGCCAGTCGAGTCCGACTCTAGGGTTGCGGTGCTCATCTCCGTTTCAAAGCTGAAGAGCCAGCGCTGTCCGAAGACGTTTCCGTGGTCATGTGGCCGGCATGACTAAACACCAAGGCGCATGGAACGCTGTTACCTTCCCACCAAAGTGGTACCTATTTATCTACTTGCAATTTCTTGCTTTTGAACTGCTAGGTTGGCAGGAGCTGGAACTAGAGGCGGGAGCTCACTCCATCATGCGGCACACTCGGGGCTCGAACTGCTGAACTACTGACCTTCCACAGCCTGGAGTTCAGCGTCTTAACCACTTGAGCCACCGCAGCTCCATATCCACATATCAGCATCCAAAATACGAATCAGGCACTCCTCATCCATGGGTATGCATCTCCTTCGTCAGCATTTCTCCCCCCCCCCGCCAACCGAGCCTCGAATTTCCCCCCTTCCCAACCAGGCCTTTTAGTAGAGCCATTCTTCTATTATGCCTTTCCCTCTCCTCCAGAAAACTCCCCATATGTGCTTTAATGGAAAAATTGGAAAGGAATCATTCCCCCACCCTTCACATTGGAATTGCCATACAGGTCTTTGGATTCTTTGCTAGGGCTGATTAAATAAAAGAAGTTATTATTATATCCAGTCCTGGAACTACAAAGAGAGTTTCCTTCCAGTTGTGACCAAAGCAAAGAGGACTTGGTCTTCAGCCTCCCCCAAGAATACTCGAGGGTAGTGTTACCAGATCCAGGTTGGGAAACTCCTGGAGATTTGGGGAAGGAGCCTGGGGAGGACAGAGACCTCAGTGGGGGTACAAAGCCATCCATTCCACCCTGCAAAGCAGCCATCTGGAGATGAGCTGTAATTCTGGGGAATCCTCAGGTCCCACCTGGAGGCTGAAGTCTCTTCTCAGGGGGGAAGGGAGAAGACAGGACCAAGCTATGTGAACCCCCCGAGTTCAAAGGGGACCCCATGATTCTTAGAAGTTTTGCCAATTGTGCACGGGGGCAGGTAAGGCCCGAATTCATCTAGGTGACCACTGTAGGGAGGAGCTGACAGGCCTTTGACCTCATCCAGCAGGGCTCCTTTCCCTGGAATATCCAGCAGTTAAAGATACCTCAGCCTCTAAAGGGATTAAAAGAGCCACAGCTGAGCTCAGCCCAGAAGGAGTTTGTGAGCCTCACAGATCTCAGGCCTCAGAAGGCCTCCCTCCCTCCTTACCCAGTAGGCTTGACAATTCCACCAAACCAAGAGTTGCTAAGAAGTGAAGCATAAATCATAGAATCATAGAGTTGAAAGGCACCTCCAGGGTCATCTAGTCCAACCCTCTCCACAATGCAGGAAATTCACAAATACCCCCTCCCACACCTCCAGTGACTCGTTCCATGCCCAGAAAATTGCAAAAAACCTCCAGAATCCCTGGTCAAACTGACCTGGATAAAACTGGATCCTGACCAAGGGGCAATCAGCATTTCCCTGGGCGCGTAAGAAAGGCCCCAAGGGCACTGATGCATCCCTTCCTGCCCTCCCTCTCATGATCTGCCTAAGTTCACACAATCAGCATTGCAGTCAGATGGCCATCTGACCTCTGCTTAAAAACCTCCAAAGAAGGAGACCCACCACCTCCCAAGGAAACCTGTTCCACCGAGGAACTGCTCTGTCAAGAAGTTCTTCCTTAAAATTTTTGAGAGATACCCCATGGCGGGTAAGAGAAAAAAGGTTTGCCTATACAAAGTTAACCAAACTGCTGAGAGAGAACGACATCCTCTATAGATGGCTGATACCCGAAGGTCTCCTTTTTACCTATCTGGGCAAGAGGTATAATATAAACTCAATATTTAAATTGGAAAATTTTCTTGAAAGACATGGACAGAATTTAGGTGAAGGATCTGATGAGGACTCACAAGACTCAACTGAAGAAGGAAAAGAAGAAGAACCTAAAGTGCTTACTTCAGAGGATACAGAGAATCCAAAGAAGGGAAAAAAAGAAAGAAGTAGGAAAAAAATAGAGAAACATCACTTTGCATGATCTGAACACTATACTTCTGTTGATACAGCCCAAAATTACATTTGATTTTTAGCTACTGCATCACACTGCTGACTCATGTTCAGTGTATGATCTACTAAGACCCCTGAATCCTTTTCACACATACTACTGCCAAGACAAGTTTCCCCCCATCCTATAATTATGCATTTGATTTTCCCTACCTAAATGGAGAACTTTACATTTATCCTCATTAAAATTCATTTTATTTGTTTTGGCCCAGTTTTCCAGCCTGTCAAAATCATCCTGTATTCTGACTCTGTCTTTTACTGTATTTATTTATTTATTACATTTATACTCTGCCCTCCCAGCCATGGCCGGCTAAGGGCAGCTTACAACAGCTTTTTGCTACCCTCCCAATTTAGTATCATCTGCTCATTTAATAAGCATTCTCTCTATTCCTTCATCCAAATCATTTATCAAGCTGCTGAACAAAATAGGTCCCAGCACACATCCCTGAGGCACACCTCTCCAAGAGAACATGGAACCATTAATAAGGACTCTTGGGGTGCAATCTGTCAACCAGTAACAGATCCACATAAAAGTAGTGGGATCCAAGCAACGTTTCGCCAACTTGTCAACAAGAATATTACTTGGAACCTTATCTCCCATGGCTGTCCCTTGCCCATTCCCTTGACAGAACCGCTACCTACTCTCAGCCAGGTCACACGGGAACGAAATACTCTCCGGAGATCCTCTTGAGAAACTCTCCACGCCTTCTTTGGACAAAAGGTCGCTGTCTGTCTCCACTGCAGTGTCTCTCACATTACGGGCTTCTTCAGGAGAGAAAGGGATTATTCTTAAGATTTGGAAGGAAAGACGGTCAATGAAGAGGACAAATTATTCCATAAGGATGGAAACATGGTAAGGATTAAAGTCCACAATCCCAAAGAGTATACTGTGGATGGATCCATTCCAGATCACAGTCAGAGTGGATGACAGTAGTCCTGTCCAGGTGGAGAGGCGTGTTAGAAAGGCTGGCAGCTGAGAAATTAGGAACTGGCTCCTTTCAGAGTCTATCTAGTTATCCCTGGGCCAGGCAGGAGCCTTCCGTCGCTGGGCTGAGTGTACCTGGGTGGGCCTCAAAACAACATATTGCTGATTAAGAGTTTGATTCATGTATCATATGAAAAACAAGCACCTACCCAGAAAGGCCACACTCCTGTAGTTCTCCAGCACGACTTCCCTATAGAGAGCTCTTTGGCCTGGATCCAGCAGGGCCCACTCCGCCTCCGTGAAATCCACCGCCACCTCCTCAAAGGAAGTCGGAGACTGAAAGAAAAGGCAGATTCCCTCGTCAGAGATCATGCCAGGCAGAGATGGCACTCTGGAAGGGGGCATGCTGGGAGGGCGCAGGATGGAGAGCTCGGCATGGGGAAAGGGTGCTCACAGCCTCTCTCAGGCAGGCCTCCTAAGAGTCAACTGCAGGAACAAAAGCCCCCTTGAGAAAGGGGGAGGTCCCAGGCTGTCCCCTGCTCATCTCTCCTACCTGGACTGGAAGTGCAGCAGCCATTTCCACACCGCTGCAAGGACGACCACTCAACAGCTTCTCTCCACTGCCTGTAAAGGAGAGAAAATGGGAAGAAAGGGTGTCAGCCTCGAATTCCTATCTTTTTTGCTTGTCTGAATACTGCTCCTTGCAGCCCCGTTCCCAGGTGGGAAACTGTGCCTTGGGTACATTCCATAAAATCTACAAGGATTTTTAGTCAATTGTGGGAGAGGTGGGAGAGAAGCAGCAGGTACCCATGAGCCTCATGGTGCCAACATGTTTCAGACTTCTGTGAGACTTGAAGTGTGCCCTGTGAACTCCAGAGCTCAAAAACAGGACAGCATCCCTGATGGGTCAGATCAAAGGCTCAAGCATGCCTGTCTCCTCCTGTCCCCCCCTCCCCCCCACGCACGTTTGTGTCTGGGATGCTGGGAGGAAAGGGCGTGTGTGTGGAAATGACGTCACAGAGGTATGGTTTTCAGAGGTGTGCGGCCCCAGAATGTGGAGATTCCATTTATTCACCGTAGCAAACAGCTGTGCCCAGATCTGTCTACCTTTTTCTTTTCTGAGCTGCCTTGACTCCCTTGAAATATATATATTTTAATGAATATTTCAATTCATGTGAACAAGAATGGAGTTGATCCCCCTTTGATTAATCATATTCAATTTTCTTTTTTCTCCTGCATTCCTTTTCTTGGTCCAGTATTAACATTGGTTATCTTATTGTAATATGTGATATTGTAACACTAGGAAAAAGGCCCGTTGTGGAAATAAAAAGAAAGAGGCTCTGGGCGGGTGCCCCGGCCTTGGACGCTCCGTGTCAATTTGCTGTGGCGACCTCAGCAGGGTATAATGACACTGAGTCCACCATTTTCTCCAGAGGAACTAATCTCTGCTACCTAAAGAACAGTTGTAATTTTGAGTGATCTCCAGCCCTCACCTGGAGATTGGCAATGATGGTTCCCCAGAAGGGAATAGTTGGTTTGGAGGGTGGAGTCTGTGGCTTTGTACCTGTCCGAGGTCCCATGCCTCCTGAAACCTCACCCTCTCCAGGCTCCATCCCTTACATCTCTAGGAATTTCCCACCTGGAGTTGGCAACCCTATCTGCTTCCCAGCCAATCATCAACCAACCTTTATTTCCCCCTTACTCTTCAGCTTTCCACCCCCCCACACACACCTATAGCCTCTCCCGTGCTCTGAAGCCCTGACTGCTATGTCACACTGGATGTCATACGGGGGCCACCTCAGCAGCATATAATGAGGCAAAGGCCAATGAGGCTGCATATGTAAATAACCTCTGTGTTCTGACTGGCTATAGGGGGCAGATGAACACCAAACTGTTTAGAATGTTGGAGGTGAGACTCAAGCAATGCAGCCAGTGGATAGGGACAGATTCTGAGTGACACACCAGGGCGCCAACCAATTCCGGAGCGTGTGGAATGTTCTAGAGAAGTGCCACCACCATTTGGCTTTTACCTCAAACTGACCTCTGAAGAAGGCCCCCAATAGGGCGGAAACACATCAGTTCATTTGTATTGGCCTTTGTGTTCAGGCCACTTCAACGAGGCTATCATTGGGCTCTTATTTGTTTTTAACTGCCTCTCTAATAAATACATGAATTTTTCTATTTTATAGGTTTAAACAAGGTTCTTAGACATTATTAGACTTCTTTCTTACCCTTGTGGTTTCTTGATTCCAGTTTTTGGGTCAAGTTTGTTTTCCCCTCCCTGTGTCTTAATCCCCTTTTGTCGTCAGTGGCCACCACTACATCCACTAGCAATGAATGCCACAAGTCCACTCTGTGTCGTGTGCAGAAGGATTTCCTTTTCTTCCTGACCTGAACCTACTATCTATCAACTTCACTGGGTGCCCCATTCCCAAGCTACCCTTACCATGTGAGAGGGCCTCTTGGGCATGCTCCTGGGCCTGCGCTCTCTGCCACTCCTCTGAAGGAACTCCTTCCACCGCAGAGAGTTTGGCTTCCGTCACGGATGGTTCCCACATCTGAAACAGCAGCAAAAGAGACAGGTATGTGAAGAAATGGAACCTGTCAAGGAAACGGATCCTGACTCACTCCCAGACTCCTCACTCCTGCATCAACTAGTAGAACAGCTTCAGCCACAGGGGCAAGAATCAGGGTAGGGCTTTCATCCCAGCTTAGTGAATTTTCCAAAGGTAGAAATATCTGGCAGAGATCATTGCTTGAATGGAGAAAAAGAAACCCTCTCACCTGCTCGGCCTGCCTCTTCTCCTCTGCCTGACTCAGGAGGAAACCTTCGGCCAGGGCCACCGCCTGGGAACTGGTCTCCGGCCCACATTCTCTGACCCAGCACTGCATTTCCTGGGGCAGGATGGCCAGGAACTGCTCCAGGATCACCAGGTCCAGGATCTGCTTCTTGGTGTGCCTCTCCGGCTCCAGCCACTGGTTGCAAAGTCCATGGAGCCAGCTGCAGACCTCTCGGGGCCCATCGGCCTCATGGTAATGGAACTGCCGGAAGCATCGGCTGGACACGTCTGTGGTCATCATTTCATGAGCCAGGACCTCTGGAGCAGCTCTTTGCCAGAATTGAAGATCGCTCCCAGCCTGTATGGGATGGGGGCCTTCCCTTCCTCTCTTGCTAATTCCAGGTCCTTCTGGGTCTTGCTCTTCCATCGCCATCCCCTTTTCTTGAGTCACCTCCGACTGCGGAAAGATGCCCTTTCTCACCTGGCTTTGAAGAGGGAGAGGGAAAGGTATCAAAAAAGTAGAAATAAACCAAAAGTCTCTGAAGAAATTATCGAGGGATTCATGCTCTGCCCCATGGCCATTGACCCGTGGGGACCCGCAGGTAGAGATCGAAAAAGCAGAAAGAAACCAAAGGTCTCAGAAGAATATACTGAGGGATTCCTCTACTGTCCCATGGCCATTGACCTGTGGGGTGCTGCAGGGCTCCATCTTATTTAATATCTGTATGAAGCCACTGGGAGAGGTAATTGGGTGATGTGATTGGATGGTGAGTTTGGGGTGACCCAATGAAAAATCATGTGCCTCCATGAGGCAATGCTCCCTCTAAGATGTGGAGTCTTGTGAGCAAAAATTCTACTTTGTGAGCTACTGGCATTATAGTTGTGAGCAAGCGATTTGGCTGCTGCATCAATTAGTTTGCTCTGGAGCCCTCCTACCTGAGCCGAGACAAAAATGTGTGAGCCGGAGGCTAAAAAACTGTGAGCTAGCTCACACTAACTCAGCTTAGAGGGAACACTGCCATGAGGATCTGTACTTTGGAAGCATGTTTTTGCGCTGTGACAACTCACGAAGGGACAGATGCATGATTTTTGTGGTGCTGCCTATAGACTAGGCCACAATCCACAATATGACAGTGTTTTTATTTTGTTGCAATGTAAAAATCCTATGAGTTCATGAGGATCTACTCCTCAGATCCATATTTTTGCATTGCTGTTGTTCCACAAAGTACTGGATCCATTTTTAAAAAATGGTTCAGTCCACGGTGATGGATCTGACGTAATTTGTCACTGGATTTGAAGGAGCTAAAAAATAGTAATCAGAGGATCCATGAGGATCCGTGTAGATCCGGGTTTTACTTTTTCCTGCAGAAAGGGCAGGGGCAGAGGGGCACCCAGCTTCTCCAGGTGAGGGTCGGTGGGCAGCTGGGATGAACAGGAGCAGGGGGATAGATTCAGGTGAGTAGCCATGTCGGTTTGAAGCAACAGAACAAAGTTTGAGTCCTGTGGCACCTTTAAGACCAACAAAGTTTAATTCTGGGTAGAAGCTTTTAAGCGGATGCACACTTCTGTAAACACATTGAAACAGAATTCCTCAAGCATTTTTGTTTTTTAGTTCAACTAGCTAGTATTTATTGATCAAAATTAACACATACTTATCTTAAGTCTGGGGTTCACAGAATAAGCACTTCAGATAACTGGGGGGGGGGGGCTTGGTTGTTAGGAAGGCAACTGCAGTAATCCAATCTTATCTATACCCATCGCTCAGTGACTCCTGATGCAGACTCTTACTACCTCTTCCTAGCAATTAACCCTCCCTTCCTATATGTAATGGTTGAGGAACTCGGTCTCAGTGTATCTGAAGAAGTGTGCATGCACAGGAAAGCTTATACCCACAATTAAACTTTGTTGGTCTTAAAGGTCTCCATGGACTCCGACTTTCTGGCGAGCCCCCAGGCAAGCTCAGGCAGTGGTCGAAATGCGTGGCGTGCGGTGCAGCCAATCGGTATGAAGACCTGTTCCCACTCGATCACGCCCGGGACTCCTTTCTGGGCAGCTCTAGGGCCACCACGGCTGAGAGTTCATTTTTCGTTATGTATTTTTATCTACAGAATCCAGATCCCGCCTTTCTGCCCTCACAGGGGCCACCAAGGCGGCTAGCAAATCAAAACACGCCTAAGTAAATCACAGTTTTAAAGTGTTTAAACCGACTGAAAACCAACCACCCGGCACACGCAAAGAACACACACGACCACAGCGGTTCTCCCTTCCAAAAATTTCCAGTCTTAACACACACCCCCATAACTTACTTGCGAGTAAACCTTTCCAGGATCCGGCCGCTAAGCTTTTCCCCTGCTCTTGCATCTCTGAAACCCGCTTTTGCAATTCAATAGCAAAGTCTCCCCCGCCCCGCAATCGGCGGGTCTCCTTTCCCCGCCCCGCGGCTCTCTACCAACCAGCTCGGTCCTTTAACCTTTTCAGTGCTGTAGACAAAGGGAAAAGGTTTCCTGTCCTCTCCAGGAGGAGCAGCGCCCAGAGCCAGACCGGACAGACTGACCTCAGCGACGCCTTATGCGGCTCGCCGGGGCTGCTGTGGAGTTACTCGGCACGGGGTGGCGCCCCCGGGGGACCCAAAGCTGATCCGCCATCTCAGAAAATGGAGGATTGGGGGGTGGGGTGGAAGAAAATGTAGGCACCCTAAAGCTCGCTGGCCCATTAGGAGAACTCCAAATCCTCCTAGACCAGTGATGGTGAACCTTTTAGAGACCGAGTGCCCAAACAGCGACCCAAAATGCAATTATTGATCGCAAAGTGCCAACATGGCAATTTAACCTGAATACTGAGGTTTTACTTTAGAAAAAAACAACTCATACATTAACTTAAGATGATCCAAACCAAAAGTAAGGAAAGCAATCCCAAATGCTTTCATTTACTTAAAATTATTTGGCAGAGAATTCGACACTTTAATGATGGTCTGGGCCTGGCTGGGGCGATGGCATGCGTGCCCACTGAGAGGGCTCTGAGTGCCACCTCTGGCACCTGTGCCGTAGGTTCGCCACCACTGTCCTAGACAGTGGGGCCTGCTCCCAGGAAACTGGTTTTAGGATCGCATTGAAAGTCTGGCTACAGTCACAATAATCCACATTCAATGCACTTTTCAACTGGATCTTGCCAGGTCACACAGTAAAATCCAGTTGGAAAGTGCACTGAAAGTGGATTATTTAGTATGTGAGAGTCCAGCCTCAGTGTTCCTATATCGTCCCCCACCCCCAACTCCTGCCAGTGACCAGGGCCGACCTGGAGACCCTATGCCATGTCAGTTGCCTGTTTCCTACTCTTGGCAGAGGACGGGGCATGTCGGTGTTTGGGGGGGGCATCTGGGAGCTTCTCCACTGTACTTGGTGAGCCAGCTTGCCAGGCGGCCCTTCTAGACTCATTTCCTTGCAGAATCAGAACCTTATTTATTTATACCCCACCTTCCCCGCCAAGGCAGGCTCGCAGCCTTGAGCAAGAACTGCTGGGGGTGAATGGCCAGCAATCCCTGAGGTCTTCAACACAGGACAGGGGAGTATCATTCAGATGGCACTATCATGTGACTCAAGAGGGGTTTGTGGTGAAGCCCCCCCCCCCCGCATGGGGCTGCATTTGCAGACCCTGTCAGGACAACACATCCATGGCTGAGCCCAGCATGGCAGTCATTCCCGGTTGCCATGACGGCAAGTATCTCTGTCGTGTTCTCCTGTAGGTGAAGATTCAATGGGGAGCCTTGTGGGTGTGGCCAGTCCCACCTCCCCCCCCCATCTGTTCAGTCTGCTGTCCCAGCCCTCCTCTTGGAGTGGAGTGTGGCACCCAACCTGCCCTTCCAAGTTCCACCGGCAATTCCATCCCTTAGACACATGCCCTGCCAGGGATCCTCAGCCCTCTTCCCCGTGACCCCAGGGAAGTAGTGGATGGAGTCGTCAGGCCTTGCCATGATTTGCAGTTTGATAAAATCTGTGTGGTGCCACAGTGTGTATGTCTCTGTTTGGTGCCGAGAGCTCCACACCTCTCCCTGCCCCACTCCTTCTCCACCCCATCTGTGGCTCCCTCTGAGGGCTGCCCGATGACATTTTACGACAGCCCATCACACTTCCGTCTATCAGAGGTAGATTTCCCCTCCAAATTCTGTTCCCTTCTGTGACTGAGCCACCCCAAGTAACATGGTTTTCTTATCTGCCTTTAAAAGACTCTCTGTCCCACCCTGTCACAGAGATATCATTTGGCTTTTAGCCCAACCCTGGAACCTGAAGGAAGAATAAGGAGCCCTCTTGGGTTGAACCCCTTCGAATGTGTAGTGTATCCAGCCTGACATGTCCCCGGACTGGCTCAGGCACAAACCCCACTAGCTTCATGCCAAAAGACAATGGGCCAGTAGGATCCTAGCCAGACCCAATGAAAGGGCTAGGTCCCCAGCCGGGAGGCCAATAGGTCTCTCGGTTACTGTAAATAGCCTATCGGGAGTGGGGTGTGTGTTTTGTGTGTTTGGTGATGCGTTTTCTGAAGGAATATAAGCTGGCCTGCGAGCCAGCCAAGTGTCTTTGTTCCAGACTAAATAATCACTCTCCGTCTGCATACTTTTCAGAATGGCACTTGAGACGATGTAAAAGTCAATCAGAACAAAATATTTTATTTAAAAGACAGGGGAGGGTCAAGTGTAATCAGGAGTTGCTAACTTTGAGGCAAAAATCAGTGGCTGTATAGATTGTAATCTTTATACAGGCAAATGAGGGTTATTGAAGATTATTTTCTTACTTCTTGAGATCTTAATACTGAGAGGCTTTTTCCCCGTGTTTTTCAAACACTACAACACTTCTTAATAGAGTTTCCTATTTCTCCTCTTATTTCCTGGAGGGTGATGCCTTCTTTCAGTACCTAACTCCCTTCCTTTTAATCCCCAATTTCATTCCACAAATGTGACTTGTGTGTCCCCAAGCCCAAGAAAGAACAACATGAGTGAAGTGCTAGGGAGGAGAAAAGTTCTTAATATTTATTGAAACAAATAGGAAAACAATGCAAAGCAATAAATTGTCTGCCAAAAATCAACTGCTTTCTGAATTATACAAGGAAGAACATAGGGTTTTAAACCCAAAATGACATAAGCAAAACAATAACATACAGAAATCTTCACTGGTGCAGGCAAAAAAAATCATCATTTGAGTGGAAATACAATCATTGGTCAGTTACAATAAGGGGTGCAGCTATTTAGTATCTTAAATGGTTACTTGACATATAACAAAGAGGCCCTCTTCAGCTTTGACCAAGGACTCTGCATATCCAAGCAAAAAGTATCATTCTTAGATAAGGAGTAAAAGTCCCCCTCTACCCAGGCTCTTTGGAACCTTGTATCAAAACATAGGTAAGGCACATGAACTTTACACTAAGTAAATACATTCATTTCCAAACCCATCTTCCCGTATCCCATTAGCGATACATTCAAGGTTCATTAAGACAGCTGGACAGCCAAACAGCTATTCCAGCCAAAGACCCAGATGAGGAAAGAATGTTTACTTCTTGTCTGTCAGTGCAAGCTGAATGCATACTCTGACCTACAAAGAAAAGCCTATTGAACACTTATTCATTTCTAATATTAAAACTTACAAAGGCACAGGTGTATACATATACTCTCTCTCTTGACGTGGTGAGGGGGCTCGTGTGGTTTGATGAGGCTGCAGGCTATGCTGTGGAAGGCCACCCACGATGGACAGGCCACGGTGGAGAACTCAGACAAGATGTGATCCACCTGAGAAGGAAATGGCAACACACTCCAGTATCTTTGCCAAGAAAACCCCATGGACAGCAACAAAAGGCTAAAAGATATGACGCCGGAAGATGAGCCCCTCAGGTTGGAAGGTGTCCAATATGCTACTGGGGAAGAGCAGAGGGCAGGTACAAGTAACCCCAGAAAGAGTGAAGTGGCTGGGCCAAAGCCGAAAGGATGCTCAGCTGTGGATGTGTCTCATGGTGAAAGGAAAGTCCGATGCTGCAAAGAACGATACTGCATAGGAACCTGGAATGTAAGATCTATGAATCAAGGGAAGTTGGATATGAGATGGCAAGACTGAACATCGACATCTTGGGAATCAGTGAACTAAAGTGGACAGGAATGGGCGAATTTAACTCAGAAGACCATTATATCTTCTGTGGCCAAGAATCCCGTAGAAAAAATGGTGTGGCCTTTATAGTCAACAAGAGAGTGAGAAAGGTAGTAATGGGATACAATCTCAAAAATGACAGAATGATCTCGGTCCGAATCCAAGGCAAACCATTCAACATCACAGTAATCCAAGTCTATGCCCCAACCACTGACACAGAAGAGGCTGAAGACCTACAACACCTCCTAGAACTAACACTAAAAAAAGATGTCCTTATCATCATAGAGGACTGGAATTCTATATTAGGAAGTCAAAAGGTAACTGGAATAACGGGCAAGTTTGGCCTTGGAGAACAAAATGAAGCCGGACAAAAGCTAACAGAGTTTTGTCAAGAGAACACACTGGTTATAGTGAACACCCTCTTCCAACAACCTAAGAGGCGACTCTACACATGGACATCACAGATGGGCGACACCGAAATCAGATTGTTTATATCATTTGCAGTCAAAGATGGAGAAGCTCTATACGGTCAGTAAAAACAAGACCTGGAGCTGACTGTGGCTCAGATCATGAGCTACTCATTGCAAAATTCAGGCTTAAATTGAAGAAAGTTGGGAAAACCACTAGGCTATTCAGGTTTGACCTAGATCACATCCCTGATGAATATACAGTGGAGGTGAAGAATAGGTTTAAGGGACTAGATTTGATAGATGGAGTGCCTGAAGAACTATGGACAGAGGTTCGTGACATTGTACAGGAGGCAGCAATCAGAACAATCCCAAAGAAAAAAGAAATGCACGAAAGCAAAGTGGCTATCTGATGAGGCTTTACAAATAGCAGAGGAAAGAAGGAAAGTGAAAGGCAAAGGTGAAAAGGAAAGATTTACCCAACTGAATGCAGATTTCCAGGGAACAGCAAGGAGAGATAAGGAGGCCTTCCTGAATGAACAATGCAAAGTAACAGAGGAAAACAATAGAATGGGAAGGACTAGAGATCTCGTCAAGAAAATTGGAGAAATTAAGTGATTGTTCCGTGCAAAGCTGGCCATGATAAAGGACAAAAACAGTAGGGACCTAACAGAAGCAGAAGAGATTGGGAAAAGATGGCAAGAATACACAGAAGAACTATACAAGAAGGACCTTAATGTCCTTGACAACCATGATGGTGTGATCACTGACCTCGAGCCAGACATCCTGGAGGGCGAAGTCAAATGGGCCTTAGAAAACATTACTGACAACAAAGCTAGCGGAGGTGATGGTATCCCAGCTGAGCTATTCAAAGTCTTAAAATATGATGCTGTTAAAGTGCTGCACTCAATATGCCAGTAAATTTGGAAAATGCAACAGTGGCCATAGGATTGGAAAAGATCAGTTTACATTCCAATCCCAAAGAAGGGCAATGCCAAGGAATGTTCAAACTATCGCACAATTGCACTCATTTCACATGCTAGTAAGGTCATGCTCAAGATCCTACAAGCTAGGACAGGGGTGGCCAAACTTGCTTCATGTAAGAGCCACATAGACTAAATGTCAGATGCTCAAGAGCTGCAAGATGACTTCGGAGAAAGAGGCAGCTTTAGGGGAGTGGCCTGAAAGTGACATCACAGGAAGGCGTACAGGATGTTATGTCATTGGAAAGGGGTGGAGCTTAGGAAGTGATGCCACCTGATCTTTGACCTGAAAGTGACATCATAGGACATGACATCACAAAGTGATGTCACATCCTTGCAAGGCACTACCTCCAAAGTCTCCTGGCTCCACCCCCAAAGTTCCCAGGTGGTAAAAACAGAAAAATAGAAGTGGTTAAAACAGACATTGCTGGAATATATTGCAATACTTTGTGAAATGGCAGAGGTACCTCAGCCAGCATGGGCAAGACATCTTCGATGGTGCTCTGCCTGCTACCTCCACAGCTCTGCTACAGAGAGCCAGTTTGGTGTAGTGGTTAAGTGTGCGGACTCTAATCTGGGAGAACCGGGTTTGCTTCCCCACTCCTCCACTTGCACCTGCTGATGTGACCTTGGGTCAGTCACAAGCTCTGGCACAGCTGTCCTCGAAAAAGAGCAGTTTGTGTCAGAGCTCTCTCAGTCCCACCCACCTCACAGGGTGCCTGTTGTGGGGAGGAGAAGGGAAAGGAGTTTGTAAGCCGCTCTGAGACACCTTTGGGTAGTGAAGGGCGAGGTATAAATCCAATCTCTTCTTCTTCTTCTCTTCATGATACTGGTGGCAAGAGGCCCATGAAGAGCCTCTCGCTGTGCTCTGTTTAAATGCCCCCATGGAGGGGGGGGGAAGGCAACCGTGCACCCTGGCTGGGGCCCTCCCTTCCCACTCCCCCTGGCAGAGGGCACCCCCTCATGGTGCTGGCAGTGAGAGGCCCATGAAGAGCCTTTCACCGCGTTCCTATTTAATGCCCATGGAGGGGGATAAGGCCAACCATGCAGCCTGGCTGGAGCCCTCCCGATCTCCCTTCCCAGCAGAGGGCATCCCCCTACCCCATGATGCTGGTGGGCTGACAAGCAGGGCGCCCAGAAACCAGCTTCCCCAGTGGCTCTCTTAGCTGATCTCTCCACCACCGTTGAGCCCGCGGTGGCTGTGGCTACTGCTGCTGCTCCTCCTCCCTTTTCTGTACTCTCTTCCCACAGCAGGAGGCAGCAGAGGGGGAGGGGAGTGGCTTTCAAAGGGGGGGGGTGCGGGGGAGTGGCAAGCTTGGCCGCCCCTGAGCTCGGCAGTACGTGGATAGAGAACTGCCAGAAGTACAAGCTGGGGTTTGAAGAGGTAGAGGAACTAGAGATCAAATGGCCAACATTCTCTGGATTATGGAGAAAGCAAGAGAGTACCAGAAAAACATCTACTTCTGCTTCATTGACCATGCTAAAGCCTTTGACTGTGTGGATCACAACAAACTATGGTAGGTCAGGTCCTTAAAGAGATGGAAGTACCAGACCACCTCACATGTCTCTTGAGAAACCTGTATAAGGGTCAAGAAGCGACAGTTAGAACCGGATATGGAACAACTGATTGGTTTAGCATAGGAAAAGGAGTACGACAAGGATGTATATTGTCACCCTGCTTATTTAATATATGTGCAGAGTAAAAAGGTAAAGGTAAAGGTTCCCTTGCTCGAAAGCCAGTCGAATCCGACTCTAGGGTTGCGGTGCTCATCTCCGTTTCAAAGCCGAAGAGCCAGCGCTGTCCGAAGACGTTTCCGTGGTCATGTGGCCGGCATGACTAAACACCAAGGCGCACGGAACGCTGTTACCTTCCCACTGAAGTGGTACCTATTTATCTACTTGCAATGTCTTTCTTTTGAACGGCTAGGTTGGCAGGAGCTGGAACTAGAGACGGGAGCAAATGTTGGGTAGTTGGCTTCAGCATTCTTCATATGTGCAGGGCATCTGGTGGGACATCAGGAAAAATAAAGATGTCATCATTATTGTATTTGAAGCTGTCTTTCCCTTTGGCCTCAATTGGTATGCGATTCTTGGTATGGATGTCGAGGAATTCAGCCAAGATATCTCAAGGGCCCCTCGGTCTGAAGCAAGAGGGCTCAAACGGTAGGCTCTAGTCACCATCAGTGTGACCCCATCCTCTAGCTGAAGAATAGAGGTGAGCCATGTTGATATAAAAGTTGCCACAACAACTGTGCTTTCCGCCTCTTCAGTGAAGCCACAAAACTTTAAGAATCGCTCTCTAGCTTTATGCTCCAACAAGAAGATCCTCTCTCATGCTCAAGATTCATTATTTTGCAGCCTTCTGATGTCTTCTTGGTTCGCAATTGAAGCTTCTAGCGCCATATCAGCTGACTGAGAAACTTTTTGCAGAGTTAGTTGTAAGGTTTCTAGTTGTTCAGCCATTGGCTTCAGCATGTCGTTAATGTTCTCAAGCATTTCATTTTTAAAGGTATGTAGTACTTCTTTTAGGTCCTGCTTAGTCAAGTAGGTTTGTAACGTCAATTGAATTGCCTCTTTGGTGGCCATATTTTTGTCACCCTGCCGGCCTCCTCGCGTCGTCCCGCTAGTTGTTTTGGGGTTAAAAAGGGTTTAAAATTTTGCAGTTTCAGATTTGCCTGGTTTGTTGCACACTCCGCCTGTTTTTCCCATTATCTGAGCCTTAAACCAGCATCAATAGGCTTGTTTCATTGAAGGGCTCAAAAGGAAGGCATGGAGCTCAATCACCTAGCGTCTGCAATCTTGAGCGCCGATGCCCCACCCCCATTCCAATCCCCACTTGTCCAATGGAAGCTCAATGGGAGGCCTTTGGCCAGTTGCACACTCTCAGCCTTACCAACCACACAGGGTTGATGTGAGCATAAAATGGAGGAAAGGGGAATGATGGTAGCAACTTGGGGTTCCCATGGGGGAGAAGGGTGGGAAATAAATAGAGTGGATGAATGAAGTTCATAACTATGGGTCTGCTTTAGGAAGGGGGGAGCTTCTCTCACCCAGGGGGAAGACATCTGTGAAGGCATCCCTGAGGGGGCAGGTGATCATGGGGGGGTAATCATGGGGGTGCTGTGGGGGAGCCAATGTGGAGGGCAGTCTTTTGAGGAGGTGGGGAGTGTGTTGATAGGGGAGGCAGGCACCTGAGTCAGATCCTGCATTCTGTAGCAGCTGCGGATGCCTGTGGAGCGGATAGTTCAAACCCCATCCCCACTGTCAGGTGCTTGGATCTGCTGACAGGAGTTGGTCCCTTTAAGGGGGTGGAGGGTGTGCTGACAACAAGCGCAGAACTCCTATGCCCCGCCCCACTCCACCTCCAGCCCAAGATGGATGCTCTTAAGTTTTCATTTTCACTACACTACAGCTGTCTTCTTGTACCTCATTTTCTTCTCCACTGCAACCTGAGGGATCCATCTGATTTTTCTTTGCTGCTTTTGCTGTTGCTTTAGAGTAAACCCTACTGTTTTAAGCAATGCTTTGGTCTCCTTAAGATTCCATGGAGATAGCAGCTGATCCCTGAAAAAGACTAATAATTCAAACGGAAATCCTCAGCAATATTTCTGTCCTGCATCTTTCAAAGCAGCAAAAAAGCCTTGCAAAGTTTCTGCAGAGAGATCTTGAAATATCATAATGCTTTGCTTCTCAAAGGTAATTGCAACTTTAGAATGACTTGTCTTGAATATAAGTTCCTTCTCTTTGAAATTTAGGCCCCAGTCACACGGAGAATTTGCTGCGCGAAAGGCATGAATGCTGGGCAGATTTTCGGGGCGCGATCACACCGCAACATCTGGCAAGCATAGCACACCCATGGCGTGTCGCTGAAGATGCGCAGTTAAAAAGTACCTGCAAAGATCTACTAGCAAATGGTTTGCCACGGGCTGCAGATGGACTCGTTCAGTGTGATCGCACCGGCACACACGTATTCCCTCCGGCCATCCTCTTTGCAGTGCGCGCTGAAGGACGAAACCCCAGTGCACCGCCGTCGCGTCTGATTGCATAATGGCAGATCAGAATGCAACGGTGCAAATAGCCACACCTCCCCCCCACACGTTTTCCGGCCTTAGAAACTTTACTATGCTATCTCTGGGAGTCCCAGTAGGTACTTTCATGTGGGACTTTGTGTGCTGCCTCAATCCATACTGCTTCTTCAAGCACTTCCAGTTTAAAAGTTTCCTTAAGCCATTCAGCTATAAAAGTCTCCATAGTTGTACCTTTTCCCACACCTCCTTTAAGGGGAGCAGTGGCACAGTGGGTATATTCCACTGTCTTAACATTTGAACTGTGTTAGTTCAAGCCCTGCGCTGGTGTGAGCAGCCAGCCTGTTGTCCCCAGCTCATTGTCCACCCAGCGATTTGAAAGCTTTGGCGAGTAGATAAAATGGGAACCACTCCTTAGAGAGGGTGGGCACGCCAATCTCCCTTGTGGGAGGGTGTTAGCTGACGGTCGGACGTCCTGGTCGAGGCTTGGAAGGCGAAATAGCTTCTCGGCTATGAAAGAATCCCTGCAATGGATGTTCCGGCCAGGTGGTGGCAGTGTGGCGATTGACATACGGGTCCTGAAGCCTGGCCAACAAGCAGCTGTGCGGAAAACGACGGAGCCAAGCCAGAAGACGTCTATGTGACGGCGCGTGCAATTAAAAATGAATAAATGTTGTCTTCCCTATCCCCTACAAACATTGCTAGTCCCTTGTCTATATTGTATAACTGTACATCGCTTTGAGCCCACTGGGGAAAGCGATTAATAAATGGAAAGTATTATTATTATTATTTTTAAAGCCTTTAAAGCAGGGGTGTTATATGGCCCGTGGGTCACGACTGGCCCCTTCAGGGCTCGTATCCAACCCATGAGCTACTGACTCTATCCTGCTTCCTTCTCTGGATCTGCTGCTGCTTTCAGCTGGCTCTCTAAATCCTGCCGAGAGATAAAAACTCAACCTCCCTTCCCTCCTTTGGTGGTCTCCTCCCCGCTTCTCCTTGGAATATGAATAGCGGGAAAGAGAGAGACAGCGCTCCATTCAGCTGTAAATGTCTCCAGAGCTGTACCTTTCCCCACACCTTCTTTAAAGCCTCTAAAGCGTAAACTGCAATGTCTTGCATAGTTTTCTGCATAATCCATTTAATTTTTCAAGCACTGGTTTAACATTTTAAATTCACTTATTTTCCAAGCTTGAGAAATCTTGAAGTCAGTTGTTTGCTATACCAAGGCTTCTAAATGAGTTACTCTCTCATTTAATTGTTTTACTGACTTTTTAATAGGAAAAAGCAAGGCTGATACTCTAAGATCTTCAAGGTGATTTACAAATAACTCTTCCAGCTCATTGTTAGTAATAGAAATGGAGGAGTCTTTGTTTAATTGTAAAAACCAGGTAGCCATCTTGATTTCCCCTTCTTTCTGCTCCGAGAATACATGAGTCACAGTAAGTCAGACAGATTCAAAATAGCTCTTCAATTTTTCCCCTCTAGTAGCTGAAGCTTTAGATACCATATCTGCTTATATTAAAGTAAAAAGATAAAGGTTCCCTTGCTTGAAAGCCAGTCAAGTCCGACTCTAGGGTTGCGGTGCTCATCTCTGTTTCAAAGCCGAAGAGCCAGCGCTGTCCAAAGACGTTTCCGTGGTCATGTGGCCGGCATGACTAAACGCCAAGGCGCACGGAATGCTGTTTCCTTCCCACCGAAGTGGTACCTATTTATCTACTTGCAATTTCTTGCTTTCGAACTGCTAGGTTGGCAGGAGCTGGAACTAGAGACAGGAGCTCACTCCGTCATGCGGCACACTCGGGTCTCGAACTGCTGAACTACTGACCTTCCACAGCCTGCAGTTCAGCGTCTTAACCACTTGAGCCACCGCAGCTCCATTATATTAAAGTAGCTATGTATAATCTATTAAATGTTTAGGAGGCAAAAATTGCTGTGTGGGAGGGGAGCTGTGGATTCAACCAGCCATCTTCCTTGATGATGTCACTCCCTCCCCCCCATGTGGGTTCTTTGATGCTCCTGAAGATGGCCAATCTGCCTGAATTTCTTTCCGCACACTGAGCATTCAAAACGTTTCTCCCCTGAGTGGATTTTGTGATGATTTAGAAGTTCCCCCCTCTGACTGAATTTCTTCTGAACATTCAAAAGTTTTCTCCCCTCTGTGGGTTCCTTGATGATATAGAAGATTGCCACGCTGCCGGAATTTCTTTCCGCACACTGAACATTCGAAAGGTTTCTCCCCTGTGTGGGTTCTTTGATGCTGTTGAAGACTGCACTTCTGACTGAATCTCTTTCCACAGTCTGAGCATTCAAAAGGTTTCTCCCCTGTGTGAGTTCTTTGATGCACTTGAAGATTGCCCCTCAAACTGAATCTCTTTCCACACACTGAGCATTCAAAAGGTTTCTCCTCTGAATTGTGATGATTTAGAAGTTCCCCACTCTGACTGAATTTCTTCCCATGCACTGAATATTCAAAAGGTTTCTCCTCTCTGTGGGTTCTTTGATGATATAGAAGATTGCTACGCTGCCGGAATGTCTTTCTGCACACTGAACATTCGAAAGGTTTCTCCCCTGTGTGGGTTCTTTGATGCTGTTGAAGACTGCCCCTCTGACTGAATCTCTTTCCACACTCTGAGCATTCGAAAGGTCTCTCCCCTGTGTGGATTCTGTGATGCTTCTGAAGTTGGTTACTCTGACTGAATTTCTTTCCACACTCTGAGCATTCAAAGGGTTTCTCACCTGTGTGGGTTCTTTGATGCTTCTGAAGTTGGTTACTCTGACTGAATATCTTTCTGCACACTGAGCATTCAAAGGGTTTCTCACCTGTGTGGATTCTTTGATGCTGTTGAAGACTGCCACTTTGACTGAATTTCTTTCCGCATTCTGAGCATTCAAAGGGTTTCTCACCTGTGTGGGTTCTGTGATGCTTCTGAAGTTGGTTACTCTGACTGAATCTCTTTCCACACTCTGAGCATTCAAAGGGTTTCTCCCCTGTGTGAATTCTTTGGTGCTTTTGAAGATTGCCACAGCAGCTGAATTTCTTTCCGCAATCTGAGCATTCGAAAGGTTTCTCCCCTGTGTGGGTTCTCTGATGACACAGAAGATTACTACTCCGACTGAATTTTTTTTCGCACACTGGGCACTCAAAAGGTTTCTCCCCCGTGTGGGTTCTTTGATGCAGTTGAAGATCAGAAATGCGACTGAATTTCTTTTCACACTCAGAGCATTCAAAAGGTTTCTCCCCTCTGTGGGTTCTTTGATGATACAGAAAACTGCCACGCTGCCGGAATTTATTTCCGCACAACAAACATTCAAAAGGTTTCTCACCTGTGTGAATTCTTCGGTGCTTTTGAAGATTGCCACAGTGACTGAATCTCTTTCCACACTCTGGACATTCGAAAGGTTTCTCCCCTGTGTGGGTTCTGTGGTGACACAGAAGAGTAATACTCCGACTGAATTTTTTTCCACACACTGAGCATTCAAAAGGTTTCTCCCCTGTATGGGCCCTTTGATGCTTCTGAAGTTGGTTACTCTGACTGAATCTCTTTCCACACTCTGGACATTCGAAAGGTTTCTCCCCTGTGTGGGTTCTGTGGTGACACAGAAGAGTAATACTCCGACTGAATTTTTTTCCACACACTGAGCATTCAAAAGGTTTCTCCCCTGTGTGGGTTCTGTGATGACACAGAAGATTACCACTCTGACTGAATTTCTTTCCACACACTGAGCACTCAAAAGGTGTCTCCCCTCTGTGGGTTCTTTGATGATATAGAAGACTGCCACGCTGCCGGAATTTATTTCCACACACCAAACATTCAAAAGGTTTCTCACTTGTGTGAATTCGTTGGTGCTTTTGAAGATTTCCGTGGTGACTGAATTTCTTTCCACAATTTGAACATTCAAAAGGTTTCTCCCCTCTGTGCGTTCTGTGATGACACAAAAGATTGCCACTCTGACTGAATTTCTTTCCACATACTGAGCATTCAAAAGGTTTCTCCCCTGTGTGGGTTCTTTGATGCCGTCGAAGATCGGAAATGTGACAGAATTTTTTCCCACACTCAGAGCATGCAAAACGTTTCTCTCCTGTGTGAGTTCTTAGATGCCTTCGAAGAGTAAAAACGTGACTAAACTTTTTTGCACACTCTGAGCATTCAAAAGGTTTCTCACCTGTGTGGGTTCTTTGGTGCTCAAGGAGATGTGATCTGCATCTGAAGTTCTTTCCACATGGAAAGCATTTATGTGCCTTCATTATACTGTGTGTTGAAGAATGTACATTATCTGTTGATACCTGAGAGAATGTCATTCCAGCCTCTGAGCAGATCAATGGTTTTGCTCCTGAATGAATTCTTTGGTGTCGATCAATGCCTGATTTCTGTGGGAGGCTCTGGCCATAGTCTGAGCAGCTATCTGGTTTCTCTTCTGTGTCGATTCTTTGATGTCTAAGGAAGTCTGCTCTGCGCCTGAAGCACTTTCCACATTCCAAGCATTGATGGCTCTTCTTTCCAGGATGTATTCTCAAATGCATATGATATTGGGATTGATCTGAGAAGCTCATTTCACACTCCAAGCACTTGTATCTTTCATCCACTATGTGAATTGCTTCATGTAAATCCCACCCTTGGCAAGGAAAGATTTCATTCCTCTCCTCGACCACGTGGCTTGTTTTCTGCCTCTTAGGTCCACCTTGATTCCTGATATTTCCTCTCAACTCTTCATTCTTGACATCACCTGGCGACAGATGATGCAGTTCCTCATTGTCCTCATTCCCCTGATGATCCCCTGCTGGAACAAATACAGAGATCCCATTAGCACCTATGTAAGGAGGTCTGATTTCAGTGGCTTCTTTTTGCTGTATGGTTAAGTGTACTTGAAAAGTACACTAAAGCCTGCTGTGTCAGAGAGGCTTGGTTTGCACTCCGGCCATTTATAGAGCTCCTCATCTGAGTGAGTTACTTGATGTGAACTAAGGGCCATTTTTCAATTGAAGCTCTTTCCACACTCCAAGCAATTACATGGTTTTTCTCCTAAAGGAATTTGTTCCTCAAAAATTACATTTGTGCTCTGACTGAAGGTCTTTCCAAAGGCCGCACTTTCATTTTCTTTTCCTCTGGAGGAATTCTCTGGTTAGCATGAAGGCCTCCTTGGACCTGGGGTGTGTGTGTGTCGAATTCTGTGGGCACCCAAAGTAGCTGTCCCCCCCATCCTCCATTGCTTCTAATGTTTTGCTTTCTTCCAAAGCCAACAGCAAGGAGATACAAGCCCAGCAGAATGTCCCAGAGAATCTCTGCAGTAGAAAGTGAAGTGTGGGGGAGGGGCGGCATTTTTTGCAAGGCCAGCAGCAGAACCAGTGCCACTGTGGCAGTGCCAAAACCCAACAGGACTATGTTCACATCTGAGTGTCTGAAGTAGAATCTGAGGGAGGCGGCCTTTCTGCAATGACTGGAGAAACAGTGCACTGTAACTAGTGCCTGGCAGCAGAACCCAGTGCCATTGTGGCAAATGCCAGCTCAAGAGGACTGATGTCAAGCACAGAATCACAATCCAAGTGGAGGGGTTGTTGTTGTTTTTTGCAAGGCCAACAGAACCAGTGCTATAGTGCCCAGCAGCACAACCCAGTGCCAGTGGCAGCACTGCAAACCCAACAGAACTAACCAATGTCACACCAGAGAATCCTAGCAGGGTTTTTTAAAAAGAAGGAAGGGCAGTAGAAGCCCAGCAGAACACTCAAAAGCACGTGGTGGGCAGCCCATCTGAACCAAGGCCAGCCCAATACACAGAAGCCCAGTAATGTTTTGCTTTCTTTCAAAGTCAAGGGCAAACCCAGAGAAACCTTATACACTATTTCTCCAGGGAAGGCCTCAGAAAGTGCGAGGGAACACCAGTGTTCCGTCTTAAGCTGAGTTAGTGTGAGCTAGCTCACAATTTTTTAGCCTCCAACTCACATTTTTGTCTTAGCTCAGGAAGGTTGGCTCCAGAGCAAACTAATGTATGCAGCAGCCAAATCGCTCGCTCACAACTTTAATGCGAGTAGCTCACAAAATAGAATTTCTGCTCACAGGACTCCACGGCTTAGAGGGAGCATTGGTGTCTACCCTGATCCTCCTCTCTCAGCAATAGCAGTACAACAACCATGACTGCCTCAGTGGAGGAGCCTTAGGCTAGGTGCTGCAACTGCCTTTTATAACAGGCTCTCCCTTTCCCACCTCCCACCCCTGCAAAGAAGAATGACAAACTGGCTTCATTACTGATGGCGCTCCTGTGGGTTCTGCTGGGTTTTTGTTTGGCTTTGGCACACAGGCTGCACTATCCTACTCTACCCTTTCGTCTCCATCAAAAGGAAGGACAGGTTCAGTTTTAATTTCAGCATGCAATTATGCAGTTTTGGTTTGTGGTGGCTGGTGACTCGGTGAGTGAATCTGTGAGCCCACCACCTTCAACATCGCCCCGTGCTGCACTCCTACTAGTGTTCTGTAGAGGTGTTTTGGCGCAGGCGAATTCAGAATGGCAGCGGGGAGATTGGTGGGGCATTTCTGTGCCAATCCAAGGGGTTAGTGGCTCTGCCACTTCTTCCTAGTCTCGTTTTAGTTTTGTTTTGGGAAGATCGTTTCGCCCCAACTTCCCAGCACAGATTGAGAGAGAATGCCGGCACCAGTATGGGCTCACTTCAGTCACCCTGAAAGTCCAGGCCGGGTAGGCGAACAGCGGCAGGTTGGCCTTCAGGAAGACCAACTGCTCAACTGTCCAGGGGAGCAGGTGTGAGTGATGGGAGCTGACAATGTCGCCCACATGGGGGGAAATGAGCTCACTCTACTCGCTCGTTGGAGGGCACGAGAGGAGCCTCTGGGCCGTGGCAGAGAGGTCCGGCCAGACTGGCTCCTTCATAGCCCAGTAGCTTGGCGGACTGGTGGCCAGCGGCTTGTAGGGCTATGCAAGGTACTCCCTCACCATCGCAGCTGCCATGTCATATCTCATGTGCAGTGTTACCTCTAAGTTTACATAAGAACATAAGAGACGCCAATGTTGGATCAGGCCAAAGGCCCATCCAGTCCAACACTCTGTGTCACACAGTGGCCAGAAATACCAGTGCCATCAGGAGGTCCAGCAGTGGGGCCAGGACATTAGAAGCCCTCCCACTGTTGACCCCCCCCCCAAGCACCAAGAAGACAGAGCATCACTTGCCCCAGAGCCCCTAGCTATACCTTGTGGCTAATAGCCACTGATGGACCTCTGCTCCATATGCTTATCTAATTCCCTTTTGAAGCTGTCCATGCTTGTAGCACCCACCACTTCCTGTGGCAGTGAATTCCATGTGTTAATCACTCTTTGGGTGAAGAAGTACTTCCTTTTATCCGTTCTAACCTGACCGCTCTGCAGTTTCATGGAGTGCCCACGAGTTCTTGTATTGTGAGAAAGGGAGAAAAGTACCTCTTTCTTTACCTGCTCTTTCCCATGCATAATCTTATAAACCTCGATCATGTCACCCCTCAGTCGTCTTTTCTCCAAGCTAAAGAGCCCTAAGCGCTTTAACCTTTCCTCATAGGGAAAGTGTTCCAACCCTTTTATCATTCGAGTTGCCCTTTTCTGCACTTTTTCCAAAGCTATAATATCCTTTTTAAGTTGTGGTGACCAGAATTGCACACAGTATTCCAGATGAGGTCGCACCATTGATTTATATAGGGGCATTATGATATTGGCTGATCTGTTTTCAATACCCTTCCTTCCTAATAATCCCCAGCATAGCATTGGCCTTCTTTTTTTTGCCTTAGCTCGGGAAGGATGGCTCCAGAGCAAACTCATTTATGCAGTAGCCAAATCGCTCACTCACAGCTTTAATGCCGGTAGCTCACAAAGTAGAATTTTTGTTCACAAGTCTCCACAGCTTAGAGGGAGCTCATGTGCCTACTGCTCCCAGAGAGGCTGAGGATCTGCTCAATGACTGTCATCTCACAGGTCATCGTGGTGGTAGCAGGAGAGGTGGGGGATGAGCAGCAGTGGAGCTGCTTTCGCCCTCCTCTTCCTCATCAGCCCGCTTGGTGATCTTACCCTTGATGCGCAGGTCAGACATGGTTGCCAACATGTAGACCAGAGGTGTCGAACTCATTTGTTATGAGGGCTGGATCTGACCTAAATAAGACCTAGTTGGGCCGGGCCATGTGTGTCATAAAATGTAGTGCCAGGTAGCAGAGATATAAACTTTATAAAGGACACAAACACAAAGCATTTTTTTTACTTAAAATGAAAAAAACATGCTTAAAACATTAGCACTCTTGCAATATTTTGTTTATTTAACAGTGCCTGATAACTGACACCTCTTGCTCTGAATTATTGCATCAAAATATCTTGTGCTGTTGCAATCTTGACTATGCTGTTCAGGTGTGTATCTGTAAGCTGCAAACCTAAAATGATGCAGCAGCAGCAGAACTGGAAGAAGAAGCAGAAGACAGCAAGTTCCACTGCGGGCCTGAAAGAAGTCCTTGGGGGGGGGGCCTCATCTGGCCCCCGGGCCGCATGTTTGACTCCCCTGATGTAGACCTTCTGCTTTACGAGAGGCTGAAGGCAGGCCTCTTTTCCATCTTGCGGCCTTTTCACAAGTGCATGCACTGGTGGAACCACGTCTGCATGTTCTGCAGCTGGCTCCAGAAAGGAGGTCAAGTCGTCACGAGCCGTTTGGATCAGGGGATGAACAGCACCTCTGAGATCACCTCTGTGTAGCTCTTAAAGGGCCTAAAAACTTCCGCAGCCTGAGAGATGGTCAGCCACTCTTTCTGGGTGAGCCGGCTCTCTTCTGAAATTACCCCGGTCTCAGAGATTAGGGCAGTCAGGGCTCTCTTCTGCTCCACCAAGCTCTTGAGCATGGCACAGATGGCATTACAGTGAGTGCTCACGTCACTGATCAGGCGGTGCACCGGCACTCCTGTCAGTGCCTCCTTCTCACACAGCAGATGGGTGTCCTCCACACTGCGTGACAAGTGGCCTGTGAGGTGCCAGCATTTCTGGAGGAGATGCCTGAACTCACGGGTCGCAGCGTTGAAACTGGGATTCTCCGCAGAACCCAGCCCCAAGGCGTCCTTAACCAGCCGGTGGAGAAGGTCGGCCATGCAGTAAATGTGCCTGAGGCCTGATACCTGGGCCGCTGCCCTCATGTCTGCACCACCGTTGTTCGCCTTGAAGCTCATGGAAAGGTCCCTGCCTACCCATGCCACTAACTGTTTATCAGTGGTGTCTGCCTTGTGCACCCCGTCGACTACCTTGGCATGGAGAAGAGCCTGGCAATAGGTGGCCCAGCAGCCCTGACCCTGCCTAACACTAGTTTCCCCACCCCTACCCACAACATCATTGGCTTAACACCAGAGCACAGTCAGCGACACGTATGTGTTGTGTGCCTGAGCTGAGGTCCAGATGTTGGATGTGAAGTGCAATGGTGTCATCACGGGGTCCCTGGAAGCCCTGTGCAATGAGGGCAATGCGGTCCTGCTCCGTGTGGTGCAAAAAGGGGACATGTACCAGGGATAGGCATCCTGGAGTAGCATGTGGAAAGCAGTGTCTTTGACCACAGAGAAGGGGCAGCCCTCTACAGCAACTATTCCAGCAATGAGTTGAGTGACCCTCTTACTTGCCTGGTGTCCCCCCCCCCCCCCGAGAACCCTAGTGCCAACCTCACGGAGCATATCTGTTTTTGTCTTTCAAAAGAGCTTAACCTACCTGTAACGATTTCATGTTTAACTGTGTGTGTGTGACTTTAAAAGTTTGGATGCATGGCTGTATGATAGTCTAGAGTAGTGGAAACAAGCAAGTGGTGTGATTGGTGAGTGACAGAGAAAGGGAGGGGTTTTGGAAGTGATGTTGTGTGGATGATATTTATGTCTGTCAAGAGTGACAGTTAGAGTGGGGACAGTTGGGGAGTCAGTTAAGTTCTGTCTCTGAGAGAAGGAGACTCTTCCCTGTGTGGGATAATTTGGTTCTGTGTAGTAAAAGAGTTAAGCAGTTGGTTCGTTTTAAGGTCTGAGAGAGAGAAGTCTTGTGTGTGTTATGAAAAGCTGAAGTATAAAGAAACAGTAACCGTATATGGCCTAAAGGGAAAAAAGTGTTACAAAGTTACATGCCCAGATCCCTGACAGTGGGAGAGAAAAGTGTGTGAAATATCAATAAATCTACTTTTATTTAAGATACCAGTTCTGAAAGAAATTCTTCCCAGGAAACACATAGACCCTCGTGAATGCCTAAACCCTCGACTTACCTACCCAGTGACAGAAATATTATATTATAGAGGTTTGGAAAGCCTTAAATTTCCTGGTGGCAGCCGGAATACCCAGTAAAATAAAATAAAAGGAACACTTTTAAAGTAAAACCAGACCTCCCCAGTTAAGGGGTCGTCACACTACCCTTGCTTCAGTTTTGTTGTTTTGTTTTGTTTTGGGGTTGTTGGTTTTTTAAATGTTTTTTTTTAGAAATAGTGACTTTCTATACTAAAACCTGACTATGGCTTAATAAACTGTCCTTGAGGTGGAATAGCAAACCTTTCTTTAAAAGTTTTATGGCTCTTTATTAAACTTCTCCTGACTAGATTCTACTGGAACAAGCCTGATTTCCTTTATGCAAATGCAGGAGCTCCCTCCTGAAAATTGAAAAACTACAGGACGACCTTAAAGGAAATTTGTCTAAAGGTACCTGCCTTCACTGAAGCTCATAGCGCCACATGCTGCTTTGTTAAAAAATTAATCTAGGCTTTTTATACCACTGTTTTGAAGACACACACAAACCTTGCCTGTTTTTATATCCTCCTAGCACTTGCCGAGTTAGGGAGGAACTAAAACCCTATGCTGAAGTTTAATTAAAAGTGTTTAAAAGTTAAAACAAATCCTAAAACAGGACCTTATTACTAAAAGCCTATTTAGCAGCACCTGTATTTTACTCAATAACCCTTGAAACCAGAAGCACACACCTGAAAACAGAACAGTGAACCTCACACACCCCACCCTGAAAAAAACAACCTTATAGAAACTGAAAGGAAGAAATACATTTAAAACTACTGGGGGGAAAGTATCATCTCTACTGATAGCCAAAAAGATTCTGTAATCTGCACTCACCCCCCAAAATACCAGAAAAATACCAATAACGTATTTTCTGGGCTTGGAATACCTGAATGCACATCCCTACTGCCTATAAAAAGGTAAAGGTACCCTTGCTTGAAAGCCAGTCGAATCCAACTCTAGGGTTGCGGTGCTCATCTCCTTTTCAAAGCTGAAGAGCCAGCGCTGTCCGAAGAAGTTTCCGTGGTCATGTGGCCGGCATGACTAAACACCAAGGCGCACGGAACGCTGTTACCTTCCCACCAAAGTGGTACCTATTTATTTACTTGCAATTTCTTGCTTTCGAACTGCTAGGTTGGCAGGAGCTGGAACTAGAAACAGGAGCTCACTCTGTCATGTGGCACTCTCGGGTCTCGAACTGCTGAACTACCGGCCTTCCACAGCCTGCAGTTCAGTGTCTTAACCACTTGAGCCACCGCAGCTCCCTACTGCCTATACATCTCCACAAAACTCCATATATGTGCTTTAATGGAAAAAGTGGAAAGGAATCATTCCCCCGCCCTTCACGTTTGAATTGCCTTGCAAACCTTTTGATTCTTTGCTATTGATGGTTAAATAAAAGAAGTTACAATGATACCCAGTCCTGCACAGAGACATTCCTTCTGGTTGTGAGCAGAGTAAAGACGACTTGGTCTTCAACCTCCCCAAAGACTTGGGGGGCAGGATGGGATAAGCCAGGACCAAGCCAATTGAACCCCAGAGTTCAAAGGGGACCCCATGATTTTTGGAAGAGTTGCTGGTTGTGCACGGGGGCAGGTAAGGCCCGAATTCATCTAGGTGGCCACTGTAGGAAGGAGCTGACAGGCCTCTGACCTCATCCAACAGGGCTGTTCTTAAGTAAACCTCCCTCCTTTCCCTGGAATATCCAGCATTTAAAGATACCTCAGCCTCTAAAGGGATTAAAAGAGCCACAGCTGAGCTCAGCCCCAGAAGGAGTTTCTGAGCCTCACAGATCTCAGGCCTCAGAAGGCCTCCCTCCCTCCTTACAAAGCGGGCTTGACAATTCTACCAAACCAAGAGTGAGGCAGAAATCTCCCATGGCTCTTCCTTGTCCATTCCCTTGACAGAGCCATGAAGGATACCTACTCTCAGCCAGGTCCCTTGGGAAAGAAACAATCTCTGGAAAGCCTCTTGAGAAACTCTCCAGCCCTATTGTGGACAAAAGGCCTCTGTCTGTCTCCACTGCAGGGTCTCCAACATTACTGGCTTCCTCCCATAATATTTTTATTGAGTTTTCAGTAATATACATCCACCTATATTGTGCTTAAATTTACATTCCATCCAATTAAACCTTATAAACATAGTTTCTAAACAGCAACAAGTATATCCAACATTACATTTACCTTCATTAATCAATCATAAACTTAAAATAGAACACTTTTACCAGCACATACATCCATTATTAACATTTTATAATTATCTTTAATAATCTTTTATTTTCCTTAAGACAGTCTACTGAAATAAATTCCCACTTAGTTGTTATTAACCTCTAAATCTTTAAAGTCATAGAACCTTATAAATATTATGCATTAATAAATTGATAATTTTAAATATTATACCATAATAATTTAACCTCATCCACCGTAAAACCAGTAATCCAATCACTTTTTATATACTATTCATAATAATTCATAATAATTCATTCATAATTTTCATAATGATCCCTTCATAATAGTCAACTCTTTTTTATTTCATGCCAAATCCCATAAATACTTACATAAAAACTACATATATGTTAAATAAATAGTTCCCCCTATATACATAGCTTCCAAACCTCGCCAGGAACGAAGAACAAACAAACAAAAACAAATTTTTACCCCTTACATTCTTAACTTACTATTTTACCCAACATTACTGGCTTCCTCAGGAGAGAGATTATTCTTAGATTGGGAAGGAAAGACATTCAGTGAAGAGAAGAAATTATTCCAGAAGGATGGAAACATGGTCAGGATCAAAGCCCGCAATCCCAAACACT